GTGAATAGTTTGTACTCATATCCTACACATAACTGAGCTGTGCTATAATGTGTCTGGTACTGTCTGTTAGCACCAGCATCAGCACAAACACTGCATAGGACACCACAACGGCCATGGTGTCACGGGGTGACGGGAATTTTTCAGCTCCAGTATACTATGATTCCACCCTGGTCTGTACAGTCCATTGTTAACTGATACTATTTTGTTATATATAAGGCACAATTGTGTTTGCAATTCAAGGAGCCCTTACTGGCTCTACAGAAGGAGACGGGCTCTGCCTAGTCCCCATCTACCTGCCACAGGCTGGCTGCTAAGCCACCTTCCACTGTCCTGCACAGCCCCACACCCAGAGGTCTCTACCCAGAACAAAACTGTGAAGATAATGCCTGTCGTTTCTCTCAGATTTGTTCTTACAGGAGACAAATTGAACTTAAACTTTAGTACTTAGAAACCTCAAAATTGTAAGACCAAAAGAAGAGAAAACACACATAAGCCCAGTATTTGGAACATACTGCCTCAGCCCCTCAGATTCGTTCCCTGCCCCAGGATCTTGAGTCAGAAATCAAAGGTTTCAGGTCTGGATAGATGGCTCAGTGGTTAAGAGCACTTGCTGCTCTTTCTAAGGACAGGGGTTTATTTCCCAGCATCCACATGGTAGCTCACAACCCCCTGTAACTCCAGTTCCAGGGGATCTGATGCCCTCTTCCATCCTCTGTGGACACCAGGCACACATATGCTGCACAGACATACATGCAGGTAAAATACTCGTGCACATAAAATAAAAAGTAAATTTCAAAAAAGTCAAGGGCTTGATAACATTTTGCATAACTGCCGTAGGACAAGAATGTTCATCTTCCCATGTGCCCCACAGAAGAGAAGAACTAAGCTGTTCTTTGGGATAAATCAGGTATTTAAGTGTGATGCTAACAAGTCAAAGCTTTGATAGGAGGCAAAGACTGCTCAGCACACAGGACACTGTTGAACTAGCACACAGAGGGAACTGTTAAATGTAGATTGGACTCCATCACCATTACAACATGTTATGAATGAAAATAGATAGCTAAGAAAATTAAGGAGTCACAGATTGGATGAAAATATTCCCTCCTTGTTCATGTTTTATTAAATATAAAGTATAATATATTACACTTCAAATATATAATACATAAAGATATTTATATATGTTCTGGGATTCTCATTTAGTATATTTCTACTGAAATTCTATTCTCTCTAGAGGTGAAACCAAAGACTTGCTATATGAACATTATGTATAAACACATATTTGTATTTTGAATTTGTACATATATCAGTATCTATCCCGCCAAATCCCTTTCCTAGGACCCAACTGTTCACATCCAGTTCGGCTCCCAAGAGAAATGGCTGTATGCACACACAAAGAAGACTCGTTCAAAACATCTCACAATGGCCGTATTCTTAAAAGAAACAAAATAGAAATAGCCCAGCTGCTCACACACAGCAATATCAGTAATTGAGGCATAATTACATAATGGAATAGTACGCAGCAGCACTAATGAGCTACTAGTTATCAGAGCATGGCGGAATCTCAGATACCTGATGAGATGAAGAAGTCAGGGACAAGGGAGTAGTAACAATATCATTATATTTATGTAAGCTTCTAGACCAAGCAAGGTTTGCCTACAGTGCTGAGTATCTGAAGTGGTGGCAGCTATGAGGAGGATGGCTTAGCTGGAAAGTTCATGAAGGAAGTTACAAGGCTGGTGTCTGATATTCTATTCCATCTCTTAATCTGGGTGATGACTCTGTGTTTGTGTGTGTGTGTGTGTGTGTGTGTGTGTGTGTGTGTGTGTGTGTGTGTGTACATGTGTGTGTTTTCAAACCTCTGCGGCTATAAAAATTAGAAATGAAGTTGTGCTGCAACTGTGCACATGAACCCTCACTACTTTCCTCATCTATTCAAATTCCAAATAGATCAAGACTTCAAATATAAAATGTAAATCATAAACAGGCTGAAGTGAAAGTGTAGAATTCATCTACAACTTCAGAATGAGGAAGGCCTTTGTAACAGCAACTCAAAATTAAGACTCTATAAAATATTGATGAGCTTGACTATAACATTAGAGACATTTCATAATCTCAGAATTGTATAAAGAAGGCCAGAAGGAGACACATAACAGTGCTAACAGCAGCTTTCTTCTGCAACTTGTAGCTCTTCAGGATAACAGTCTTCTTTTCAGTGAGCTTTTATATAAAATTCCACAAGTTGATTTATTACTTTCAGGGCCGAAAAAGGCAAGCCTGGAAATCAGCGTTTCTCTTCATCTTACTGCTTCTCTCCTTGTAAGTTGTTCCTCTCGTGACTCAGCTCCTGATTTTGCACTACTGAATTGACTCCCCTTTGCTTCCTGCAAAGCCACAGTCCATCCAGTAACTCCTATCCTGGACTCTTCATGTCTTCTTTACTATGTGGTCAATTTAACTTTCTCTTAACTTTCTCTGTAAGCACGTTCGTTTCCCATCCGTAAAATCCCTCTTCCTTCTAGTTCTGAGGTTCCTCCTCCACAAAGACGTTGTCCATCCTCTTTTCACTGGGATAGGACAGTGAGGACTCGTCACCGCCGTTTTCCCACCACCAGCTCGCTTGCTCACTTTCGGCATTCTGGCTGTGCCATGGCTATTCTACATAGCCTGTCTTGATGTGCTTCTTTATCGATCCTGAGATAGTCAACAAACATAAATTTATAAGACTCTTAAGATAGGCAACAAACACAATAGTTCAGTGTACAAAACTATTTAATGATTCCTGCGGAACAAAGTCAAGTTCTTGGTTGCCTGGCAATGATTGTCTGCATGGCCTTGACCTAGCCAGCCCTGTCCTGTAACTCCTCTTCACCCTACCTAAGCTGTATCCTCAGCCATCCTCTATGCTCTCCCTGCCAAGTCCCTCCATTGCAGTTCTTTTGCTGGGAATTTCTGCCATTTCCCTTTATCTGTGTGCTTCCTGTCTGCTCTAGGGGAGGTGGCTCTCATCATCTCTGCACAGTGATGCAGAATTGTCCCCAATGTGTAGCTGACATCTACATGACTTCATTATTTTCCCTGTTGGTTTTAAGCATCCTGTTTATCACATACTAAATCCAAATCTGCTTAGGACTCTTTTCACAGGATATCCAGTCTATTGTATTGTTCTGACTTTTCACACATCAATACATGCTATTTTAATTACTGAAGTTTTTGCTGTAATATCTTGAAAGGGCCATTTCTGCTTTCCTGACTAATTTCTCTCATTAAACTTCAAAATATCATATCTGGTTGAAGAAAAACATTTATTTTTGAGAGGATCTCAATAAATTATTGGTATGTAAATTAAATTAACATAGATACAGTTGAGATTTTATTATTGATGTAAACTGTGTTTCCATCTAAGAGCATGACATACCTTTCTACTTAGTTTGGTTTTCTGTCCTTAGGTGTAGTTAAACATGTTGTTCATGCAAATATTGTACCTTTTTAAACAAAATTGATTCCTATAATTTTATGTTTGTTGCTACTATTTAGAATTATGGGGTTCCTTACAAATGTGCCCACGCCCTAATCTCAGAACCTGTTAATATATTATGCTACATGGTAAAATGGACATAAAGTTGCGAATTATCTGATTATGCTGGATTATTTAGGTGGGCCCACTGTAATCACAGAGGTCCTTAAATGGGGCCAGAGAGGCAGAAGTCAGGTCAGAGTGTTATGAGTGATGGAAATCTGATGAGTATAATATCATTGGTTTGTGGCCCTTTGACATCTTCAAAACCAAAAGGGACCCCTTGAGTTTTGCTAACTCATACCACTCTGACCTGACTTCTGCCTCTCTGGCAAGATGAACCCTTTCTTCCTGAACTTGCTTGTGGATGTGGTGTTTACCACGGCAATAGGAAGCAAACTAGAGCAGAGAGGAAAGCATTAAGGGTCAAGATCTCCTCACAGACACATGCTCACTGATCTAACTTTCTCCATGCCTCCTAAAAATTCTGCCATCTCCCCATAGCAACCACATTGATTGACCAAGCCAATGACACATGGGCCTTTAAGTGACACTTATCCAAGCATAGCAGATGTGTCGCCTGTAGAAGCTGGGGAAAGTGAGAAAAAATTGTTCTCTCTTATAGCCTCCATGAAGTACCAGAATCAAGTACCTTCTTAGAAATGATGAAATGCTGTTTTCCTCAGTAAGAGCATGCCTGCCTTCAGCATCAAATCAAGCCTGACAGATTCATGTAACATACAAACACTGAGCAATAAAAATGCTATTAAATACAGGCTGTGGACAATCATCACCAAGTAATCAATGTCTTTCCTAAGAAGTGCCTTGTTAGTCCTCGAAGCCTATCAGGAAAGCTCAAACATGATCCCAGCAATTGGATCTGTAAAGCCCTGTTTAAACATTTTAATCCATATTTGCCATGTCTGAGCGATGAAAACAGGGAAATGAGTTGGTCAGATCACAATCAAAATGAAATGCTGGTTTCTAAGTTCTCCAATAATTGTCAGATATTAATAGTTTCCCTTTTCTAAAGAAGAAAGGAAAAGAAGGTTGGACTCATTCTTGGTGAAGCTGAATGTCAGCTAGAGAGGTCAACAAGAATTTAAAGATCGTAACACACTCACACCTGCTTAATAATGGATGCTGTTAAGAGTGTGACAGCAGTTCCTTTTGAAGACCCAATGTGAAGCCCTGGACCCGATGACAAGTAGTAGTTGTGATGGGTAATAACTCAGTAACCACCTAAATGCACATTTTTATGAGACAAGTAACTCTTAGCAGGCGGGTAAAAAGCAGATTAATGAGATGTTCCTGTGGGATTCGATATAAACATTAGAAAGGAAAACACCCCACCTCCTGTGTCACCACCAGGAGGGAAGCTATATAAGCACTTCAAAGAGGAAAAGCCGCAGGCTTGGCATTTAGGATCAGGGTGCTTTGGGTGGTGACCACAAACACTGAGACAACCTGAAGCTGGACACACACTATGGATACCAAGGGTTCTACAGCAACTATTTCTTCTTCAACGGCACCCCAAAACTGCTCTGGGAATACAAATTTTAGGACCAGCTCTTCTAACAGCAGTTGTTGTCACAGTGGCCAGTCAACTGGTCATGCTCAAAGAACTCCCCAGGGCCAGGGCTGTCGACCCACCCCTTGCCTTTATCGCACCCCTAACTACTTGATAAGAACCTACAACTTCCATCCCTGCCTGGAAGACTGCAGCCTGTGTGGCGAAGGCATTAACAGTCACGAGAAAGAGACCATGCAGATTTTGAATGAACGCCTTGCTAACTACCTGGAAAAGGTGCGGATGCTGGAAGGGGAAAACTCCGAACTAGAAGATAAAATCCAGAAGGAGTGCAGCAAGGCGCTCCCTGTCCTGTGTCCTGACTACCTGTCCTACTACACCACCATTGAGGAGCTGCAGCAGAAGGTAAGGACTCAGCAAAGTGCTGAATCAAACTATGAGTCAATGGTCTCTAAAGTACTGTTATCTGTTACATTTTAGTCTTTCTAGAACCTTCTATGCTGGTACATTTTTAAGAATAAAAGAAGAGGGTAGTCATTGTGGTGCATGCTTTTAATCCCAGCACTCAGGAGGCAAAGGCAGGAGGATCTCTGTGAGTTTGAGGCCAGCCTGGTCTACAGAGTGAGTTCCAGGACAGCCAGAGCTTTACAGGGAAACCTTGTCTGAAAAAAATAAATAAATAAATAAATAGATAAATAAATAAATAAATAAATAAGAAAAAAAGGAAGGAAGGAAGGAATAAATCCCTTGAGTGAAATTCATCTTGAGATATACACACAAAGTTTTCTATATCTTTTTATTTATTGTGTGCTCTGCCATTTTATAACCAAATAACTCAGAATTGAAAGCTAATGAGTTGCTACCACATCTTAAATAAAAATAAGAGATTGGGACTCTGAGAAGCTATTCTGCTTTTTAAAGTCTCCAAATAGTTTTAGCTTTTATCTGTGTTATAACAACCAGTACCTTTAATGCCCATGTGGTCATCTTCACAGTATTTAAATAGTGTGTCTCTATACCAAACCTCAGTTTCCCATCCAGTGATTGCTGCTGCACACCTGGGTTTACTTCATTTTTTTTTCAACAAATATTTACTGAACACCAACAAAAATGCTCCAGCCACTATTTTAGGCTCTAAGAAAACACGCTGGGACTCAAGAATTTGCATTCTAGTATGTCATAGTAAACTGGGAAAAAAATTAGAAAAGATACTCTATTTTAATAGAAAAACATACACAAAGGTTTTTAATTTGCATGGCTTTTTGCTAATCTCAGGAAAATAACAAGAACTCTGACTCTCCAGTGTTTCCCCCATTTCTTAAGCATCTCTCTAAAGATTCAGGAAAATTCTAATTAGTCTTTGACTAACTGGAAAACACGGCCCTGTGGTTCTTAAAGTAGGGGATCCTGGTGTTTGTCTCATTTGTGTGTTCAATCTCTTAATTCTAGATCTTGTGTACCAAGGCTGAGAATTCCAGACTGGTCTCACAAATTGACAACACCAAACTGGCTGCAGATGACTTGAGAGCCAAGTAAGCCTGCCCAGCACTGTCACCGGTGATAGCATTCACCCCGAGTCTGACTTAAACTTTCCCAGTGAGACTGTCCCCGCATCCTCTAAGCCATAGCCTATCAGCGCTAACCCAGAAAAGACCTTCAGATTCAGTGTGATTAAGATTAACAGCCCTAACATTGCACACAGTTCCTGCCGTGGTGACATACAGACCCATAGGATTACCCGCAGTGAGATAGGGAGGGCCAATATCTTGTAACCTTGCTCTAGGCAAGAAAACCTTGGTATAATGAGGAAGAAACTTACACAAAGGTTTGTAATAGGAGACAGAGCCAAAAATGCAGACCCAAGATCCTGACCCCAACGGTTTTCTTACACTGTGTTGCCTTTGGGAGCAAAGAAGGAAAATAAATTCCCTCCTCTCAAAAGACAGCAAGGTGGTGTCACTCCCAAGCATAACAACTAAGTCAGGATATGGATCAAATGGTTTCACTTCTACAAAGAATAAACTCTTCCATAGAAACACTCAGTGAGCGACCCAGAGGAGAACGAAGCCGGTAGTTCTGCTGAGCTTGCCTTGGACATCTCCTTTCTAATGCCTTTTTTTTTTTTTAAGCTATGAAGCCGAGTTATCACTGCGCCAGCTCATAGAAGCTGATGCCAAGGGCCTGAAGCAGATCTTGGATGTGCTGACTTTGAGTAAGGCTGACCTGGAGGCTCGAGTCCAGTCTCTGACAGAGGAACTTCTGTGCCTCAAAACCAACCATGAAGAGGTGAGAAAAAGACCAAGAGTCAGCACAGGCTAAACCCCTAAAATTAGCATCAGTTCCTCTGAGTCGTACATAACAAAGTGTATCCCCCTAGACACATCTCCATTTGTCAGCCCTGATTATACTGATACAGCCCATACAGTCAGCTTACTATATTACATCTAATGCCATGTGGGTAGAATAGTCCCCATCATCCCAATTTTCTCATCTTCACTGGTTTTTGTAGAAATCCTTAAACAGACTTCTACCATCTCCTATTGGAAAAAGCCAGTTCTGCCACAAGCCAGTTCTGGCACAAGTTCATATGGGCATCGTGGAGATAGTGGTCTTTCCACATAATCCCTACCTCCATGCTACTACCTCCACTCTTCATCTCTAGAAATGATCTTAAAAAATGTATGAAATTCTGATCTTGTTAGTCAACTCCTTCTCTCTCTTTTTTTTTGCACATATCTATGCACAGAGTCATACCTGAAATTATCTTCAATCATTGTAGGGCATCTGAATAACACCTATAAATCATGTATCCCTTTGTTGTGGACTGTATTCCAGACCCAATTAGACCAAATTTTTTCTGTCAGACTGAAACAAGAACATGGTAGGGAAGGGTCATCTATTTGCTAAGTAATTCACATTCTTCTTTCTTCCGGTAGGAAATCAGTTCCTTGCAGTGCCAGCTGGGGGACAGAATCAATATCGAAGTCACAGCTGCCCCTTCCGTGGACCTAAATCAAGTTCTACAAGAAATGAGATGCCGCTACGAGTCCATTGTGGAGACAAACCGTAAAGACGTAGAACAATGGTTCGATACACAGGTGGGGAGAGCAAACAAGTCAAAAACAACGCGCTGACATTTCTGGGAGGCCTTCTGTGAGTCGTGCTTCCTTGTAAAATACCCGGAATCTCTGTGTTTCAGATGGAGGAGCTGAACCAACAAGTAGTGACCAGCTCCCAGCAACAGCAGTGCTGCCAGAAGGACGTCATAGAACTGAGACGTACCATGAGTGCCCTCGAGGTGGAACTGCAGGCCCAGCACCGAATGGTACCCAGAGGCTCACCAAGCCTAACCTTACCCTGGTGGCAACACTCCCTGATGTCTTGAGTGTTCCACTGTTTCCCAGACTGTGTCCCTGTTGGTTAAAGGGTCTGTGGCTAGAAAAGAACTTCATGGTCGAGTTAAGTCTTGGAAATGTTGGATTGAACAAAGGTTAGCCTTTCTACAAGCTAGCCTACAAGATGACATGGACCTCCAAGAAGGAGATGCGCAATACTCAGCATTCCAAAACTTATTTGATTGCAGAAGCTCTTTCTGCCCCACCCCCACCCCCAAGAGTGTGTCGTAGTGGTCAGGACCCACGGAAAACACTTTTGGAAACACCAGGAGAGCATTTGATTTATTTTCTGCAAAGCATTATTGTAAGCTATCGTATTGGAATTCTGAAACAAAGTTCTGAAAGAGATGACGTAAACCATTAACCAACTTTACTGGTGGGGTTCCAAGAATGTGGGGGACTTTCCTAAGCCAGATCCACACTAAGCGCTGTCACACCTAGTTCACAGATAGAGACTCTGACAGATCTAAAAGCAGTGAGTGGCCTTCTCCAAGTTGCCGGAGAAACGTGTTGGGATCAGATCCCAGAGCCAGCACCACCTCTGCTTCCTGAGACTGTGACTCTGAAATAAGATAGCACTCAAATGGCCTGCTAGGAGGAGCATAGGAATACCTGGCCCCAGGGTTCATCACCTCTTAGTCATGTGATATTGGGCAATTCATCGAACCTCATTTTTCTCATCTATAAAAATTGAGATAATCATGTGAATAGCCAGGGTTATTAAAGCCTAAAATCCCACCATTATGTGTAGACTTACAAAATGGTAGAACAAGAAAGAACTTGACACATTTGAATTTCAACACTCATATTTTACTTATAAAGAAATTGACGCACTTATAAAGGAACTGACCCACTTCTGAAGGAATTGACCCACTGAGGGAAATGCCTGCAGTTAAACATTGCTCACTTCCTTTGAAAGACTCAAACACTGGCTGAATGAGGTGTCTTGGTATGATTTTAATGCCTGGGTTTCAATGAAGTGAAGTGGATTCTCTCTCCCTCTCTGTCTCTCTGTCTCTCTCTGTCTCTCTGTCTGTTTCTCTGTCTCTCTGTCTCTCTGTCTCTCTCTCTCTGTCTCTCTCTCTCTGTCTCTCTCTCTCATGAGCCAGAGGGTAAGAGATTAAGTGGCAAAACGGGGTGGGGGAGGGATAAACCAAAGAGATTTTAAAAAGAGGGGATAAAGGAAAGAAACACTATCATTTTTGTCTTGCACATATTTGGTTAAGAAGTAATAAAGGGCTTCGAGAACCTTTAGCACTGTCACCAAGAAACTGCTGTTTAAAATGGCCTTAACAGTGACCTTAAGGAAGTTTTAAGGGAGTCATCATTTGAATCTGTTTTCCTCCTCTTCCTTAGAGAGATTCCCAGGAATGCATCCTCACAGAGACAGAGGCCCGCTACACAACCCTGCTGGCCCAGATCCAGGGTCTGATCCATAACCTGGAGGCTCAGGTGTCAGATATCCGGGGTGCCCTGGAAAGACAGAACCAGGAGTATCAAGTTCTGCTGGACATCAAGTCCCGGCTGGAGTGTGAGATCGCCACCTACCGCAGCCTTCTGGAGAGCTTGGATGGCAGGTATGTAAAACTAAAACAACATACATGAGCAAGACACACACACACACACACACACACACACACACGGGGAAGGAGCATCAGAGAACAATACTTTGATCTTCTTGGCAATGATGGGAAAATCTGGATGGAGATTATCAAATATTCTCTAAAGACCTACAATTGTAACCTAGTCCCGATTTGAGATGTAGGTAGAACTACACTGGTTTGAAGAGCAACATACCGAATTAGTTCCTTATAGGATGCATCCTACTAAGACAAAAGTTCTGAACCTGTGGGTGGGTCTCAATCCCTTGGAGCAAAACAACCTTTTCACAGGGCTCTTCTAAGAACTCAGAAATACCAAATATTTACATTACGATTCATAACAGTAGCAATATTACAGTTATGAAACAGCAACAGAAATAGTTGTATGGCTGGGGGTCACCACAACACGAGGAGCTGTATTAAAGGGTCACAGCACTAGAAAGGTTGAGAACCACTAGTCTAAGATGAGCATGGGACTTTGCTGAAATGAGAAGGGACAACCCTGGTCCCATAGGGGACCACAGTGCTCAGGCTGAAATCCCCAACCCTGTCTAGATATTGCCCTTCGCCCCAATAGGAGCATGCTGACATATAAAAGAAAGGATGTTTCAGCATCCTTTCTTTTACAAATAAAAAGGTTTTTTTTGTTTTGTTTTGTTTTTAATGATAATAAGCCAACTGACCCATAAAGAACTCAGCGTTAACCATGAGTTCTTGGAGTAACTCAGACCAAACCAATCCCACAAAAGTTTCGTTAAAATTGCAAAGGACACCAATTGCCCCCAAATAATCAGTCACCTCTGTTCACTGCATCCTCTTTATTGGCATGCACACACAGCACAAGTACAATGTTACCTGACGCTGTTCCTTTAAAGAACTACAGTATGGCAAAAGGCCACAAGTTAGCTAATTAGAATCACATATCTCAAAAAGAGCATACTACAAACTGCTGGCTACTCGAATTTTCTTAAAAACAAAATGCTTAGAGACATCAAAAGGGCACTTCCACACTTCCTGGTGATGTGCTAAAGACTCCCCCATAAGTGGAATTCAGATCACAACTAATTGTATGAAAAATTTCCCCCACACGAGAAAATTATCTAACTCATCTCCATTTTCCAGGTAGTAAGCCCCTCCACTTGCTGCATCAACCCATGTTGATCCGTGAGTTTAGTTCCCATTATGTCCATTCTGCCCATGCAAAACTTAAGCTCCAGAAGGCTGACTGGTTCACCCAGCGTTGCCCACTAGCAAACAACAGAGCTGGGCTCTGCCCCTGTTTCGACTGCTGGTGCAGTGTGGTTTCCATGGGGCTAGAGTGGAAGCTTAAACCAGGTAACACTTCTGAAGCCAGGAGGCTGTCTTCCAACAGATCTTCTCTGATTCTGGTTCTTCTGCTATAACCACAGCACAAAATGAACGAATAAGCATTTAGCAGTGATTATTTTGAATGACAAGTATTGACAGCTTAGCCACTCCCATCTTCTCCATAGCTAGTATTGCCCTTCCTTAATCACAGCTAAAATTCTGTTCTTGTTGTTTCTACTTAGGCTTCCCTGTAACCCATGTGCCACCAAATGTGAGCCATCCTGCCAGGCCGGAGCTATGGAGTGCTTTGCCCCAATTTACACATCTTCATGCCTCCCTTGGATTCACAAGCCCTGTAATGCCTCTGGACCCCCATCCAGGATACTGGTTAAGATATGCACCATTACCAAGGAGATCAAGGATGGGAAGGTCATTTCTTCTCACGAGCATGTGCAGCCTTGTTACATCATCAGACCTGCCAAAGTCTAGCATCCCAAGGTGATGAGAATGACCCACATTCATGAAAGAGAGGCCAGTGTATGCTCCTGCCCAAAAGGTTTAAGAAAGTCCCTTAAGGTACCTAGCTTCTTACTACTACAGTGGGTCCCCAACCTTTATTCTTCTCATTCCCTAAGTCACTGCCACCAATATGATACTAAGTCACATTTCTCTGGAAGGACATTTTTGCATTGTCACTGGGATGGGATGTAGCAAGTGCCCACAAAGATGTCCTACATTGCTTGCCTAGCCATGTGATGGACAGGCAGGTTTTCCTTTTGTTTAGTCAAGCCTTGTTTATCTCTGTGCCTCTGCAGAGCCAGTCAGACAAGTTCTGGGATTGGTTTTGGCAATTGGCACGTGAAGGTAAAAAGCCACAGCCTTGCCTTCTAGATTCCTTCTTTGGATATAGAATGAAGCCAACACAGGAAAAGAATAGATTAAAAAAAAAAAAAAGACCCCAGAGTCTAGTTTCCAGGGATGAAGCAATGACAAGCCTGGATCCTGCTGACCTTTGCTACCTCGGCCATTGCTTATCTGTACTAGTATACATTCCCTTCATCAAAAGTAACTTTGAGGGGACTGGGGGGCTTTTGCATGCTCTACACTCTTCCCCCACCCTTATTTTCATGTTTTATTTTCAGGTTGGGTCTTACTAAATTGCCAAGGCTGACCTTGAACTTACTCTGTATCCCAGGTGGGACTTAAACTTGCAGATGATCTCCCTGCCTCAGCCTCCGGCATATTTGGGATTATAGGCCTATGCCTTCACATGTGACAGATATGTATAGTCTCTGAAACTTTGGGAACCGCAAGGCTCTTTTCCAAATGTCTTTAGGAATCAGGACTAGTTGTGTGGGATGAATCTAGAGCTCTCTCTATGGCATCAGTTTGAAGCAATACCCTGGGTCCTTTCATTAAATGTTGGTTATTTCTCTTTCTATCCCTTAGGGTATAGGAGTTTGATCTACTTGTTTGACAAGGGGCATAGAGCTGGATTTCTCAAGACATAAGACCTGATGGGTAACAATGACAAAATAGCTTAGATTCCTGCCTCAGTCTATCCATCAGAGAGAGATGGAATTACCATCCACAAACTTTCCAAAAGAGCATTAGTGAGTAATCTCTGCTTGCGAGCAAGAGGCTGCTCCACATGCCAGCAGCCACCATTCTACACCAGCCAGGATCACAACTTTTAGAACAGGGCCACAAAGTAAGTAAGTCATTATTTGAAAAACAAAAAATGATTGAAGCTTTTCAGAGGTGTTAGTTAAAAAAAAATCTAAATCAAACATAAAATGTAAAGTCCCAAGACCTGATGTCCTAAACCTGCCTATTTCCTACCATGATACCGCACAAAGCATTCAGCCTTCATCCAACTGATTCCCTTGTTTGCTCAATGAGGACCATGCCTACTTCACAGGGCTGTTGTGAAGGTCACATGGAACCCATTCTGTACACGATCATTATGTATGTTTACCACTAGCTACAGCCTAGACCTCATTTTCTTTTGTCATTGTCTCATTTTAAAAATTTTTTCTTAGTGAATTTAGTTATCCAGTCATGATTTGGAAGTTTTAACAATGTTCGGTGTTTGGGGGGAATAAAAAAAGAACATTCCTGTGATTATACCCACAATTATATTAATAAAGCATTTTTGAATTCTTAAGGGTATGTATCAGATACCAGTTGATGCTCACATCAAAGACACTTGCCTTGTTGAACTCACAGCTCACGTGCCTCCTCGAGACAAGCCGTGGCTTACACAAAGCAGGCGGAATGCAGAACTCCCAGAAGGATCTTCTGTTGCTAATTTCTCATTGAAAAATGCAGAGTAGTTCCTGTCAGCACCTCCCTGCGTATTATCTCAGCCTACAAGATGGAAGTATGGGAAGAGTGAAGAACTGGTACTCAGAAACCGTGAACAGCCTCCATCCAGTCTGTGGGTGACCTTGAGTAAAAGTGATTTAAGAACATTGGCCCTGCCTGGCACATAGTGGAAGGGTTCAAAGGACTAATGATGGTGACCAGGCTCTGAAAACGATGCATAGTGCTAGGCAGAAATGCGTTCTTAGTCCCTAAGTTAGACCCTAGACATGTGTCGGTTCCATCCATGGTTCTTTCCTTTGGGTTTGACTCAGTGCTGGGTCCTTCCTGGTACACACCATCAACACTAACTGGAAATCCATTTGGCAAGAACTGAGAGCTAGCTGCTCACCTTGCTCTGGGATTTTGATTCCACCCGAATCCAGGGTTTAGGGATCTCTAACCTTGGGCTGATGAGGTAATGACACTCTCTGTTCATGCCCCCCCCAAAAAAAAATCTTTCTCCTACTTCAACCAAAATACCCTCCATGCCACCCATGCCGAAAACAAAATATTATGACCTGCATAATGAAGAGAGAATCTGGCACCTCAAAGGCCTGTCATTTTTTAATTGCCTCCTTTGTATAAAAGCATGTAAAAAAAATCTTCAGGATTTTGTATATCTATGGCCAAAAAAAAAAAAAAGACAGTGTGGTCTGGAATTTTCTAGAGAGCTAAATAAGTGTCCTATACACAGCCACGGGGAGAGATAAAGGACTCGTTTGTGTGTCTGTTGTTTGTTTCTCACATACTTCAGCAACAGGTCAGCAGTGTGAGAACCTGAGTTGGGATCCACAGAACCAACATACAGAGCCAGGTGCAGTCAGCCACCCCTGTAATCCCAGTGCTGGAAAGGCCAAGACAGGAGGACCACTGGAGTTGGGGTTACCCAGGCTAGGCAATCGGTGCACTATAGGTTCAGTGAGACATTGTCTTCTAAAGAGCTGAAATAAAGAGTGATAAGAGAAGACACTTGACATCGGCCGATGCTCCTCCCATGCACTAGTGCACACACACACACACACACACACACACACACACACACACACAATTTCCCCCATCTTTTTAAATTAACACAGTAACTGTGCATGAATGGGGATTCACTGTGATCTTTCTACATATGCAGACAGGATACACTGATCGTCTCCATCCACCCTTTTTTTTAACTCTTTAGACTCTGACGTTAGCTCTATAGATGTCCACATTCACAGACAGCACCTCTTCCACTGTCTATCTACCTGACTCTAAGCCAGGGTTAACCAATAATAGTCAATACATTAGCAAGTGTCTGAACTCACTTGAGGATCATACAACCACCATAAAGTAGCTACGAATGATAATCCCATCTAACCCTTGAAAAAAAACCACAGGTTACAGAAGTTAGCACTCGGTGCCACACAATGATGAGACCAAACTCTAAGTACTTTAAATTCCCTTATTGTATTCTATATTACGTAATCTCCTCTAGCAGAAATGCACGACAGCACTGATGCTTTTTCAGTTCTTCAGAGTTCCATTCCCATTACTTGCTGCCTCCAATGAGAAGCCATTTGGGAGCCTTGTGCCATCAGCACCAACTATCCTCTTTATCCAAGCTCACGGGCTGGGTGAGCTTTAACATTAGAAAGCTATTTTGATGGCAGCCAGTTGCCATCTTCATAGCACATAGTCTAGATAAATAGTCTAGAGGAAAAGGCAATTGATCAATGGGAAAATCCAACTCCTTCTTCGACTTCACATCCCAGCACATCTGCTCTGGACAGCAGTAAAAGCCAAACAGGGGAGCTAATGGAATCAACCATGAACCAACTACAAGAGGCCGACCTCTGGCTCAATCCCAGAGGCACCGTTTGCCTCCTCTCCATTTACTCTTGAGTGCTCATCATAGACTCTTCAAGTCTAATGTTCTTGCTTGGCGTCTCTTACAAAAGATCACAGTCGCATCTTGCTGCGATGTGACTCACCCTGTTGTGTCTAGTCATCTATCTATAAACAGGACATGACGCCAGAAATAACACCCTCTGACCCCTCCTCCATGTATCTTTTAAAGGCTGTAAATGGTATTGGCGCTCTCTATATGATCCTTAGCAACTAGTTACTGTAGTGTCTTCCTATGAACTCCCATGTAGCAAACAATGGGAAACGTATCTTACTCTAGGCAGAAATGAGCCTATTTCTTGGCTATGTTTATCCTAATCTAATTATTTTATTTAAAAATAAAATTTTTTAATAATTAAAAGGCATTTTAAAAGCAAATATCCCCTTCAAATAAGAAAGAATGAGGAGAATAAAGTTCAGAAACAAAGGGAAGTGTGTCACACACACATACACACACACACACGCGCGCGCGCGCACACACACACACGTGCACACACAGCTCATTTTAGGAAGAATTCATAGGCTGAGTCAATCAGCATCTACAACACAGAGCCCTGGGTTAGCGTCATCACAGGCAAGCCTGGAATGTGTTCATTGTTTCAACACTGTAATCAAATGTCTTTTATAGGAAATGAATCCTTCACCTATTTGGCCGGCTGGAAATACCTGGTCAATGTGTTCACGCAGGATTCACAGCTTCATGGGAACTACCCACGCACCCAGTCAAATGGGAGCAGCCCGGTTTGGCAACATTGGAAAGGCTTGTTTTAATTGGAATGATCCTTTCAGGTTGAGCATCATACTTGGAGGGATTTTTCTTAAGCAATATCTTTAAGCTATAGTCTACTGTTTCCAGGCACATAAGAACACCACAGAAAATGCTGATTTTCTAAACATCTCAATAAGATGTCACAGAAGCAAAGCTTCTGAATGAGTTTTCTTTATTGTCCTTTCTCAGACTCCGTTCCCTTTCCTTTTCCCTCTCCATCTTCTCCACTCCCTAACCTTCTCCTCCTTCCCTGCCTGACATGATGTAGCAACCGAGGGAGATATACTGGTATTACCTGAAGAAACTCTCTAAGGTAGCAAGTTCTGATATTTCCTAGGGTGAAAGCAGGTCAGAGGCTCCTTTCCCTGTGTCCTTCTCAGAAAAAAAAATCAAGAGGACCTTCCTTCTAAATCAGAAGCAAAAGTTGGATATCACAGCTCTGTACAGTGACCTAGTGGGACCAGCAGGTGCCTTGGGA